GACCTTGACCTTTGGTGAGTGTCTGTTTGCTGAATGGTCCACTGGGTAAACTTGAAGGCCAAGACGCCTTAATGCGTCTGACAATCCAGCTGAGCCACAACATATCTCGAAGGTGGTGGCTTCCAAGGTGAAACTGTTATCAGGCGGTGTAGTCCCAAGTCAGTGGGGGCATTCATTGCCCGGGTGAAGCTTATGGCAATTTTTCTTCCAACACATGTGGTAACCTACCATGCAACGCTTTCCTGGCTTCACTTTCGCTGTGCAACGACCAATCTGCCAACGCTTGCAAAGTTGTTTTCCATCCACAAAAATCTCACAATCATCAGGCACTGTGATGCCTGTGCCAGGTTTGCCTTTTCCTTTTGACGCTTTTCCTTTTGAGTCACTGGAGTTGCCTCCTTTGCCCTTCCCGCTGGAGAAGGTGGAGTGCGGTGTCTCTGACTTGTGGTGGCCAACACTTTGAAGCGGTGTCAAGTGCTGAAGAACTTCTGGGTGCTCTGCAAACTTCGCAAAGGCCACGTCAAATGGTCTGTCCAGTCCGGTCTTGGGTTGCAGCTTTCCACGTGTGTCATTTGATACCTTAACCCAAAGCGCCTTGTCTGCGTTGATCACCTGTTCAACACTGATGTGCCTGTAGTTTGACAGAGGTGTCTCATTCATCTTTTCAAAAAGCTTCTGAGTCCAAATGTCGAGCACTGCAAACGTTGCAATCCCTGACAGGTCATACGCCAAAGATCTCCTCAAAAAGGCTTGTCGCAATTTGTGCTCACCTGTTACATTCACATCCTCCAAACGTTGCTTCTTGCTGAGCCGCAGACTTCCTGAATTGTCCAAGGCCAAAGCTGTATCCATCTTAGAGTGCAAGGCCTCATCCTGTCTAGATGTACAGCGATTCAACTCTATGTAAGTGATAACATTGTCTTCAAGCTGCTGGCAAACCTTGTCAATGAGTGCATGCGATGGCTCACTCTGAGGCGTGAAACTCAAGCCATTCAAACGCTCCTTTTGTTGACGGATTCGATCCATCTTTTCTGCAAGCGGAATGATTCTGGCTTCACTGGATTCCGACCTGTCAGCTCTTGACTTTAAGTCTTCAAGAGACAAGGCATGTGCCTCAAAGAACAATCTCCTGAAGCGTGTTGTGGCTGCAGCTGAAGGTGCACTACCCAGTGTTGTGGTCAAAAAGGCAATTAACGCTGTGTCATCGTTTTGTCCAGGCTGATAAGTGCTGCAGTATGCAAAGGTTGCATAGCTATGGATCCCGGCATCGTCAAGAGAATCAAGTTCAGCCTGCTCGATCCCCAACTCCAAGGCACGATTCTGAAAGGCTACCTTCGAGTCATTTGCCATGCTTGTCAAGGAGTTCAAACGCAAGAAGAAAATTTAGCTTTTTCTTCAAGTTAAGTGGTGGAAGGTTACTTCAGGAAACTAAGTGCAGAGGGTTACACGGCAGGTTTATGATAAGTATGGGATTACATGGGGGCCTAGTGGTTGCATGTTGACGAAATCCACACGGTTGTTTGATCTCACTTTGAAGCTGTTGCTGCTGAGCCAACGGGAATGCATCACGAAGTTGAATGAGCATCTGTCACTTGGCCAAGAACCTCTGCCGCATGTCACCATGCTAGGCATTGGGTTACCAAGCGTTTCATGCTTTCATGACTTGCGTGAATCCCAAGGCAATCAACATGTGAGATGCTTCAAATTAGAAATCGACTTCAACAACCTGTATGATGTGGAAACTTTGAGACTCACTGCACCACTGACCCCTACATGCTCTGCCATGCTATTTTATACCGGCGAGAAGAAAGGAGGCTGAAGTTGAGGGCTTTGCCAAAAGGTCATTTCAAGTGTCAGCTCGTGAGTCACGCTGTGCCGCTCGATATGCTGGGAGCAGCTAGCACACACAACGGCTTCCGGTGTCGCCAAGTCTTCCTCTGACGCCCTCTTGAAGGATGAGGATGGGTTTCTGCCACACCAAAATTTCTCGTCCTCACACACCAGCAAATGGATGACCTTTGAATTTTGGTTTATGAGGCACAAGTCTGCTTCCATGTCGTCAGCCTCCAGGCGCCTGTAAGTGCTCTTTTGGTCCAGACTGCGACGCTCGCCTCCCGAAGACGCAACGGAAGACACATCCTCTGAATCACTTGAGCTCTCAGAGCTGTCACCTCCAAGTTCCAAGGCAGTCTCAAAAGCCAACTGAAACAGTCTGCTAACTCTTGTGCCATCTGGATTGAAGGTACCTTCTCTGATTTTCCCAAACATGTTGTGCACCTTTTTGCAAAGACTGATCTGGTTGTCACGAGAGTAGATCATGGCTGATCTATATTGCGTGCTCACATGGTGTCCCAGTGCCAGCTGTTCGTCTGCAGTGAACAGAGTGCTCTTTGCAGCCCAGCTCAACAATGTCGCCTTCAAGCCATGGACGGTTAACTTTGAAGCCCGTCCTTCACCAACGTGGGGCTCGAGCAACTCACGCAACCAACCTGTCGCTTCAGCAGTAGACATTCTAGAACTGACCCAATCATGGCTGCTCTCTGACCAACAGTTCAGGAAGTGATCCCATGTCTCAGCATCTGAATCTGTTCGAGATTGCATCCAGTAGGCTCCCCAAGACTCTTCCCTGATCACATGACCCAGCGCTGTAAAAGGCAGCAACTCCATCTGCTGTTCCTTGCTGCGTGAAGATTTGTGTTTCGTCGTCATGGCCTCAAGGAGCGTGATGGGACCTGCAGTGGAAAGGTCAAGTGCAACAATGTACATTGAGTCATGCCATCTTGCAGCTGCAGCAAAACAGAAAAGCAAATGCCCTGCAATCAACCGTCGATGCAATGAAGGGTCATGTAAACACACATCTTCAAGGGCACCAATCTCCTGCACTGTCAAAACTTCTGCAGGTCTGCGGATCCTCTTGGTCATGTAAAAGGCGTGTGCAGCGCCAGTCACTCTTGGGCTAAGAAGATCTTTCAACGGTGTGAGCACAAAACCAATCAACGTGTCTGCAAACCTCAAAGACTCCACAAACTGCGATGGAGTTGTTGCACCAGCTCCAGAGTCTCTCAAGTAACAAACGTAAGAGTAAATTATGCTCTCATCTTGATTGAAAGGAGAACCACCACCTCTTGTTTGTATCCAGCAAGAAAAGCGCCAAAGGGCGTTGCACCTCTTCAAAATCGTCCCAGTTGCCTTCGGTGAGAAGACGTCCATGAAAACCTGCGCAAGCTCTTCGTCAGAACAAAGGGTACCTGCAAAGCTTGTCAAAGATCTTCCAAGACGAGTGCAACTAAGATCTAAGAGGACCATTGTCTTGAACCTGGACAAAGCAACATGCCTATAGTTGTCACAGGATGTCACCAAACGCGAGGATCTGATGCGACGCACTGTGATCTCTGTCTGTTGAATTTGCAATGGAACTGAACCACTGGTAGCACTTGCATTGATGTGATCTGAGAGGCCAACAAGAGGCAGCTTCTGTGACACCTGAAGCCTTTCCCACAGAGGTTTAGGCCTACTGAAAAGACTTGACAAAGGACCGGACTGCCATTGCTGTTTCAAGTCTGACGTCATCCTGTGAACATGTCTCGAAGCCATTTCATCAGCCGTACGCTTGATTGCAGTGCTCTCTTTGCACAATGTCACTGTTTTCAATGGAGCAGTTTTTGGTTTAGGGCGCAGCAACTGGGGCGCCTGCGGCACTTCTTCACGCTGATCAGCCAGCTCTCCAGCAGTTAAAGCAAAATCACCAGGCTCGCTCATGTCACCAAAAAGAGTATCATTCAAATTAGGCTCCACTGTTTCCCAACTGCAATCAAGGTCAGAGGAAAGCCCCAAGCCATGATCTGCCATGTCATGATCTGCAATTGCACTCTGGCTCCATCGACTGCGAAAACCTCTTCGTTCGACAACCATCTTTTAATCCCAGCTATGTGTCCAACAACGATGCCTTTCGTGGGGTACTGTTAAATCACACCAGTTGTAACAACCCGGTATTGCACACCCGAAGCAGCAAGTGGAATGACTAGTCGAAGCCGGCTCTGAAGGAGTCTCACCAACCTCCACGTCCACTGCCGTTGAAGAATTCGGGACGGCAAAAACTGGCACACCCAGGCGGCGCGCTAGTTCACTGAGGATCAGGAACAACAAAGAAAAGATGTGCTGGTTTGTCAAAGCAGCAATTTGATCTGTGTCCATTGACCCCCGTTAGCCGAAGAAAAATGATGATTGTAAAAGAAGGTTTTTTAACCCTCCTCTACCTCACCCTTGATATGAAAAATGCCACATGAATATGGAATCATATTTGTGACCAAGGGGAACATGAGTTTTGGAGTTCTGTTGTGATTGCGCATGTTATTCAGTTTAAATAAAAAGAAGTTTGTTTGAAAACCGCATGGTAGCCAGACCCCAAACAAGAACCCAAGATGTTTGTCCTGAGTTGCAAAATTTTTGTTTTGAAAATTTTGCACTGTTCTTCTAAAGATAGTGCTCTCACTTCGCGACAGCACTCTTCCTTCCAAGGGTATGTTTGTTTTGAATACTGCATTTGCTGGCAGGCAGTTCGATTTCTTAAGCCCCCCACCGTGTAAAAAAACGATATGGGAAAATACGATGGCCGGACATGCTTGGCCATCGTATTTTCCCATGTTGGTGTTCTTCTGATTTTTTCAGATTTTTTCTGAAAATCTGAAATTTTCAGATATTTTTCTGAAATTTTCAGACTTTTTCTGAAAATCTGAATTTTTCTGATTTTTTCAGATTTTTTCTGAAAATTTGATTTTTTCTGATTTTTTCAGATTTTTTCTGAAAATCTGAAATTTTCAGATTTTTCTGATTTTTTCAGATTTTTGTTCTGAAAATCTGAATTTTTCAGATTTGTTCTGAATTTTTCAGGATTTTTCTGACTTTCCCTGAAGCATTGGGGAAATGCTGGTCACGGCGCTCTGGTGCCCGGCGGCTGTGGTGGAGCAAACGATGGGTCAATGGCCTTTTTGCCTACTACAACTTCCTGGTGCTGGGATGCCCGGCTAGTGAAGCTAGCTATGAGCCGCATGGTGGCTTCGCCCCGGTGGCAGCTGTGCGTGAGGCTGCTGCGGAGCTGCTTGGCGAGACTGTGACCTTCAGTTCAGATGATACCCGTACTTTTTCACACAAAGTGTCTGGTGGTAGAGCTGATCTAGAAAACCTACTTCAAGCTTTCCCTTGTGCAGATTCTGGATACTTTGTTTCAAAGGAACCATTTTTGTCTTCCAAAGCAAGTTGTGCCTTGCCTGTGCATGCAGATCGAATTGCTATTCCTGCAACTGCCGGAACCGTTATGAGGAAGATGCCGTGGCGCGCAAGATGTTGCAGTCTGGAATGGCAGAGCTGATTCCTGAGAGTGAGCTGCCCCGTGACCGGCATGGTCGTATTCTTTTGGGGGGTTTATTCAGCGTACCCAAGAACGAAACTGAGGATAGGTTGATTTACGACAGAAGACCCGAGAATGAGACCATGCGCCTGCTACACGAGGATGCTGTTGGGCCCCAATGAATATTTACGTGGTTCAGGAGATGACCTTCGCAATTTCTATTACAATCTTTCTTTACCCCAGGGTTGGAGCAAATACAACAGCTTTGGACGTCGAGCATCCCGAAAAATAATTTTGGAAAATGGTTTGGACCCTTCTATGAAGCATCGGCTTTGCTTCAAAGTGCTGGGGATGGGGGATCGTAGTGCATGTCCCTGAGGGTCCGGGGATTGAAATTTTTCAATCCGATTGATCTTTTCAATAATTATTGATTTTTTTCAATCCGGATTGAAAATCCAAAATTATTGAAAAAAACAATCTCGGTTTCAATAAAAATTGAAAAAAACCATAATTATTGAAATGGAAATTGAAATAAGTTCAATAATTATTGTTTTTTTAATCCAGAAATTTAATAATTATAGTTGCTGCTGCAGGAAGGCAATATGCATATCTTTTTGCTCATAATGCAAGCACTTGTGACACAGAGGAAACGAGACTGGCTTTGTTGCAAGCCCCTTCTGCCCCCCTTCTGCTGAAGCCTCAAGCTTCACATGTCCTTCCATTGCTTCCACCCCATCCTGGCTACCCTTTGTTTGGAGAGCCTCTGGGGTGCTGCCTCCACCATCTCATCTGTGGTATGGGCTTCCTCCTCACTTGCTTCCTGCTGCAAAGCATTAGCCCCTGAAAGAGTTGCCATCTCTTCGCTTCCTTCCAATACCTGGCTTTGTTCCAAGCCACAGCTGTTGGCATAGTATTTCTGGAGGGAAGCATATTCTTTTTTCCAATTTTCTGTTCTTTCTTCGCTGCCTGGATAGGCTTTCCTACCTTCAGGGCTCCAAGGGAAAGATAGCTCTGCCTCAGCTGGTACAGCTGAAGCTGCAGCCTTTTCATCTGCTGCAGCTGGCTTGTTCATGGCTTTCTTTCAAGCCTCCCTTAGAAATTGTTGTTACAAAGCGATTTCTTGATTGAAGCTTCAAAAATGGCTGCAGGGGCGCACTTTGCACAGCAGTTGGCAACTAAATCTACTACATGCAGCTGCACAAAAGTTTCAAGTGCCAAAGTAAAACCTGATCTCACAGGGGATTTAATAAAGAGAGCTAGAATCACAAAAGGGATTTTGTGAATAATTCTGGCTTCACAAGCTCAAGTTTGTGAAGGGTTCTGTTTTTCTGGCCTTTTTCCAGGCCACCCTTCACACAGTCCAGTTTGTGAAGGATTTTGCCCTCACAAACTCAACTTTGTGAAAGATTCTGCCTTCACAAAGTCAAGTTTGTGAAGGATTTTGCCCTCACAAAGTCCAGTTTGTGAAGGATTCTGCCTTCACAAACTCAACTTTGTGAAGGATTCTGCCTTCACAAAGTCCAGTTTGTGAAGGATTCTGCTTCACAAACTCCAGTTTGTGAAGAATTCTGCCTTCACAATCTCAACTTTGTGAAGGATTCTGCCTTCACAAAGTCAAGTTTGTGAAGGATTCTGCCTTCACAAACTCCAGTTTGTGAAGAATTCTGCCTTCACAAAGTCCAGTTTGTGAAGGATTCTGCCTTCACAAAGTCCAGTTTGTGAAGGATTCTGCCTTCACAAACTCAACTTTGTGAAGGATTCTGCCTTCACAAAGTCCAGTTTGTGAAGGATTCTGCCTTCACAAAGTCCAGTTTGTGAAGGATTCTGCCTTCACAAAGTCCAGTTTGTGAAGGATTCTGCCTTCACAACCTCAAGTTTGTGAAGGATGCTGCCTTCACAAAGTCAAGTTTTTGAAGGATTCTGCCTTCAGAAAGTCAAGTTTGTGAAGGATTCTGCCTTCACAACCTCAAGTTTGTGAAGGATGCTGCCTTCACAAAGTCAAGTTTTTGAAGGATTCTGCCTTCAGAAAGTCAAGTTTGTGAAGGATTCTGCCTTCACAACCTCAAGTTTGTGAAGGATGCTGCCTTCACAAAGTCAAGTTTTTGAAGGATTCTGCCTTCAGAAAGTCAAGTTTGTGAAGGATTCTGCCTTCACAAAGTTCAGTTTGTGAAGGATTCTGCCTTCACACAGTCAAGTTTGTGTAGGATTCTGCCTTCGCAAACTCCAGTTTGTGAAAAATTCTGCCTTCACAAAGTCCAGTTTGTGAAGGATTTTGCCCTCACAAACTCAACTTTGTGAAGGATTCTGCCTTCACAATCTCAACTTTGTGAAGGATTCTGCCTTCACAAAGTCAAGTTTGTGAAGGATTCTGCCTTCACAAACTCCAGTTTGTGAAGAATTCTGCCTTCACAAAGTCCAGTTTGTGAAGGATTCTGCCTTCACAAAGTCAAGTTTGTGAAGGATTTTGCCTTCACAAAGTCAAGTTTGTGAAGAATTCTGTCTTCAGAAAGTCAAGTTTGTGAAGGATTCTGCCTTCACGAAGTCAAGTCAGAATTCAAAAGTCCAAGGGCTGGTCGATGCTGAAGCCATGCATGAAAGTCCAGGATGGCTTCACGAGTGGGAAGTCCAAGAAGAGCACCGACATGAAGCAAGGCAATGGACCCACAAGTGTGATCATCTTGTTGGGTGAACAAATGTCCTGGCTCAATCGCCCAGTCCAAAGACAGCTCGGCAGAGATGAGAGCAGCTAAGTGGGTGGCGGCATAGGTGGCCTGTCCAGGAAGTCCATCACAGTATTGCCACCGGAGATGATCAACATAAAGTTGTCCCCACAGCCAAGCCCAGTGACTGGCGTGCGGAAAGATGCAGAAGATTCGATCATCAGATTTGGAAAATGCTGCACCCAAAGCCAAGGTGGAGGCAGGAAATCCATTCAAGAGGTGCGAGGCAGTGATGGGGAAGATCACCAAGGGCCTCAAAAGGTCAGGGATGTGCTGGATGAATCTCTGTAAAGTCCAAGAGATGTGATCATCATGGAGTCCTTCTGGCAGGGCTTGAAATCCAGCAGCCCGAATAGTGAAGGAAGGTGGCAAAGAGGTGGGATCCAAGGTTCGAAGATTCAATGATTTCCAGACACGGAAGTCAGCACCGTAGACCTTGCCCTCAATGTCAACCAGAAAGTTCACCTCATTGATGCCCATCGGTCGAAGAGCCTCAAACAGAAATTGTCCAGCCCTCAGGAAAACCATGTGGAATTCACTCCCATGTTGAAGTCCAACTGCAAAAGTGCCAGGAGGAGTTGGTCTGGATCTGGCACCGTTCTCACTCAAGAGTTGGTAAGGGCCACTCATGGAATCCAAGATGGTCCGCAGTGACAGTCGATGCCCATCAATTGAAAGCCCTCCTTCTTCATTCCAACCAAGGCAAATGCGTTGAGCATTCAGGAGTTGAGCAACCGTGCATGCCGTGGGGCTGGAAATCACCAGAAGCTCTCCTTCAGGATCATGAAGCTGGAGTGATTGTGGAATCGGGCCTCATCGCGTCCCCCATCCAAATGGTCTGGATCTACGCGCACTTGCGCAACAACTATGCCAAGGCCAATGATCTGGCGGCATTGCCCTCTCCACTGGAATGGCTTCGCTCCTATCAGTTTGAGCTTTTGCGCCAATCTCATGGACTTTTGGGAACAGCAGCACAACAGCACAAGACTTTCCCTCGGAGTCATGGCATACTCCACAATGTTCGGCATCCCCAACAAAAGTCCAAGTTGTTTGGGGTGCAGGTAACGAGGGTTGTGGTGCACCATGGACTGAACAAAACATCCTCGAAGTCGACGTTGTCGCATTGAACTTTGGCTGAATGCGGCTGACCGGCAGCTGCACGGGCAGGCCATGAGAGCATTCCTGTAAGAGTGCAAAAAACTGTTGGCAATGTCATAGAACTGAAGGACTCGCTTGTCATGCCCAAAATCCAAGTTGGCAAATGCTTGCATCTCGAAGTCATGCAGCTGCAGGTCAGTTTCTTCAACATCAGACCAAGAGCCCCAACAGCGAAACACATCACCCACTGTCGCAAAGGGGCTAGAACTTGGCCAAGGGTGCAATCCATAGGAGTTCCAGGACTTGGGAATGAGGAGCGCCCACCAACGTGCTCGACGGCAAGGCCACTGCTCTTTGAGGTCCAAGTTGATGGTGAGCACGTCCCATGACATTGCGGTTGCAAGCAACTGGATGCCCGCATTGAGGGTGCGCACCCGCCGCTGGAACACTCCAAAATTGCTGACTGGGCTTGGAGTAAGAAAATGATTTTAAGTCCATGAAAGAAAACTTGGAACCTATCATCTTTTGATCCTAATCCAAATCCCTGGCTTGAATGGGGCTGGCAAGGAAATCCAAATGTCACAGTACCAGGGGCTTCACCAAACTTCCAATGAATCACTTTCGCACTGTCAGGATCCGTAAGATCCAACTGGAGTACTTCCCCATGGCCTGATCTCAAATGACGACATGAAAGCTCATTGCGATCCACTGAAAGAAAAGGAGTTGCTCCAAGAAACGAGGCACCGACTCCCATCCCTCTTACTCCAGCACATAGCTCGAGAAGCTTTGGAGAAAGATCACTTGGGCAATCAGCATGAGAGAACCAACAAGAGGTCAGGCCAGTGCTAAGATGCAGAAGTCATCCGAGCCCTGCACCTCAAAGTCAGAGAGACTGAGCAATCCACGTGGCAATTCCTTGCCGACGATCATGATGGGCGCTTCACTGGGGATGCGCTTGCCGATTGAGACAAAATGAGGAGATAGATACCACCTCAGTGAAAGATGAGTCATGCTGGGAGGAACCGAAGATCATTGAATCCATGGCTCACGTAAAGATGTCACGATCTTCAGTGACAAAACAACAAGTTTACCACTGGTAGGCCTCGGGCCGAAACTTAAAAGCTTCTGTGTGTAAAAGCGTCTGTGTGTGTAAACCCTTCTGTGCGTAAAAAGTGTCTGTGGTAAAAGCGTCTGTGTGCAAAAACTTTTGTGTGTAAAAGTGTTTGTGTAAAGGCGTCTGTTTGTGGGAAAAAAACATTTCTGCTCAAGAGCGTCTGTGTGTAAAAGTGTCTGTGTTACATCTTCACATCCTTCATTTTCATCCTTTCTCTTTCCTTCCCTCACTCTCTTTCCACCACCCTGTCTCCTTCATACAGCCTCTCCCTTGCAATGTTTATCTTCGTACTTCTGTTCTGTATCAGTACAAATGCTCCAATGCGTCTCTTCAGCGTTCATCTTAACATCTTGACATCTTGCCTCTTTCATCTTTCTGATGATGAGCCGCTACATTTTCCATCGTTATTATTGCCTTTTCTTCTACTTATCACGTACTTCTTACATACATATTACATGTCAGGACATGTCAAGACACCAAATTGCATTCAAGTCTGAACCAAAAACACAGAAGAAACACGGTGAACTGAACAACTGAATGGCACTGAATATGCTCTGGTTTTTTTTGGCCCCGCATTTCCGTCCAAATCGACGGAAGTCAGTCTTGCAAATAGTTCATATATTGCCGGCAAAGTTCCAGGCAGTTCCCACCTTCTTGACACCGTTTCAACAGAAAATGGAAAAGTGGAAGGCGTATGCGACCGTCGTCGAGATATGGCAAAATGTCTCCTTCGCACTTAGGCCCATGGAAGTGCACCAAAACAGCTGTCGGGTTCCGCGGCCAATAGGCTTTCCAGTTGAAGAGATACGGCAAATATGATGGTCCTCGGTCTCCTTGGTAGAAGGTTCTCAAGGCACCTTGATCGCCAGGACCGATTGGCCATGTGATATCACCGCTTGTCACGATAAAATTCAAAAACGAAGGGTATGATCTCCGCATTGACTGTACATTCCAAAGCATGACTCCAGCATTCGCAGCTACTTTTTCCATTTCGCTTTCAGCTGACATTGCAAAAAACATTGGAATCCCTTCTTGCCCAGGTTTTGCGAATACCTGCTGTTCATATGGCAAATCCTTCATCTTCTTGAACTGTTTATCAGTGGCGCCCAATAGCTTGGGCCAGGTGACGTCATTTTGAAACAAAATATCGATGTCCGCATAGAATAGAAATGGATCCAAAAGGCCCAAAATGGGTATGTCGATTCGGAGAAATGTTCCCACCATAGCATCGACATCAGACAAAAGGTGACTAGGTTTCTTGTCGCCGGAAAACCTGTTGTTCGATCCTTCCCATTGCGATATCATGGCCTTTATGTGAGGCACCCATGATGGCGTGTGGTAAATGAGACGTACCCCTGCAGCGACCAACTCGGCTGCGAATTTCGACGTGGGAGATGCAGTTGTCACTCCGATTGCCACCAATGATGTCTTTGCAAACGCACTTTTGATAGCAACTTTGGCCATGTGCGCAGATGAATCCTGTGTTTGTCCTTCCCTTGGTTGAATACAAAACAACCATTTGATTTTTTTCCTGAACAGTTCAGTTCTCCATTTTTTTTTGGGCGCCAATTGTTTGGTCTCTTGTAGCCTCAAACTGCCGCCATTGTAGTGAATGCTGCGTTTCTGGATGCGCAAACGCTGTTGCATCAAAAAACCTGAAAAAGTAGACACCGAATTGCCAACAAACATGTTTGCATTCATGCCCAATAAAGAACTCACCGCTGGCCAAAACATTTTGTGATGTCCCAAACGTGGTGTCCATTCATTGAAAATCGTCTCTGCAAGCATTTCATGTGTAATGATTGTATAGATGTTGAACAAATTGTCACCGACAAATGGCGCACTGCTCTGTCCGCGCCATTGTTCCAACGTTCTTTTCGTGGAAACTGTAGTTGCCAAATACAACGGGATGCTTGGCGTAATGCCTTCAGATAACAACACATTCCCAACTTCAAACGTGTTGTTCATGCAATTTGGCGGACCTCAGGGCCACCGTGATAATTTTGACAAATCAATTACAGTACGTTCAACCGTCACCCAAAAGAAATTACAATACAATCAAAAAAAAAAACGTCAAAACAAAATGGACACCTGCCTGAAGCGTTCAAGGTCAACTCGCAAAATATCCGCCAATCTGGTTCCATTCGCAAATGTAATACATTGAAGGCCGTGTCGTTCGGAAACGAAGTAAAACCCATTTGCCGAGTTTTTTCTCTGGCGCCAGCACCATACAACGTCATTCGTTCTTCAATTTTCTGTTTGGTTTTTTGTATATCTTGTTTGAATTCGACCTTGTCCCAAATTTTCCAAAACAACTCCCACTCAACACCGGGTTCAACTATTGGAAATTTGGACAGGACATCACAACTCAAATGAGCAATGGACGGTTGGTACAACCACAAATTGTTCCGGAGAGATTCAAACTGTTCGGCATTTTCAATGCGCAACCTTTTCCTTAGACTCCTTGCCAAATCAAAATCGTTTTGGTCCAGAATCGAAATTGCGGGCATTCGAGTCTGCCCGCACCAAAATTTGCGTTGAACCCCAGGTGGCCCGTCACAAGCATTGTCCCTGAAAAAAGAATCTGCAAATTGAGACAACTTGGAGTTTTCCATTTCCCACAAATCCCACACGTGGCCGTTGTTTGAAATAAAAACCACTTGAGCGCCCAATTCTGATCCAACCATCAAAGCTTTCACGGCTTGCATCTCTTGTTCTGCAAACCCTGCGCATGGTTCAAACTCCAACAAGACCGGGGAATTGGTGGCCAATCGCAATTTTGCAGGCGCTTCCAATCCCGAAAGCATGCCCTGGGGATGTTCATGGGACGTTCCAGAATTTGGGTACGACAGGATTTGAAGGCTCCACCAGATTTTTGGCAACATACAAATCAGCAAAATCAGCACCATCCAGGTCTTGCATGTACAGCGCCATACTCCCAAAATCCGGAGCCGCCAGCAAAAACATGTCATCGTTGGGGCTTTGTTACGGTTGAACTGAAACACTGCGGGGCCAAAGTCAAATAGTAACCACATCGACAATGTACTGTACCCCCTACTGTAAAAACGATTCGCATTGGTGTAACGTGACCTCTTCACACACGTGATGGTTCCACTGGTTCCAATTTCCGTCGTTTGAATGAAAAGAGGGGGCCTTCCGGGTCAACCCACAAAAGGATCACTTTCAACATCACGGTCCTGCAAACGCCCCCTCTTCGGGGCGCTCGGGCCAAGTCCGTCGCGCAATGCCCTTATTCCCTGGTGGGATGAAAAAAGAGTGATCCCTGCATGTATGCAATCCCATCTCTCAAGTTGGCCATAACCCAAAGTGGTGAAAAAGCTGTCGGAAAGGTTGCTTTGGCTGGAACTGGTTCTTACCATCTGGCCCTCGGCCACCCAAGAGCTATAGTTTCAAAAACGGACATCCTCCGTCATCTTGTTTTCCCGTTCAAAACTGCCGGGACTCATTTGCACATGCGCCACCACACGCTTGAGCCTTCTAGCTACCTTTTCTATTTTTTGGAACAGGGTTACAATTTGTTCAACACATATTTGACTTATTGCTACGGGAAAATTGATGGGAATAACACTTCAACATATTCTTTGCCGCTTTCTAATCACAGCACCCGTCAAAACCTGGAAGCATGAGTGTCCATGTTGAAAACCTTAAAAAAAAAACAAGCGCAGAACCCCGCGCATGGCTGAACAGGAGAACATGGACACACGAACAAAAAAATAGGGTTGTCTTGCACTGAGTTTTGGTACCTCTTGAAACAAATACTTTCAGAAGCATTCTGCCGTATGCCTTGTGGTGCCTGCCCGCCCGAAAACAAAAACATTACGCGTGCAGAAATGCTTCCTCGAAATTGGGCTTGGGCTTGCACATCTCAAAACGGCTCGTGCTGTGCAAGAAATGCACAAAACCTTTTCAGCTTCTACGAGCTAGCGCAACTATCAAATTCAATTGTGAAAAGTTCCTACCGGCGAGAAACATCCAAGCTGGCTCAGGCCAAAATGGCCGGGTGACACTTGCCCGTGCTCTTGTCCACAACAAAAGCAAGGCTGGAAAAGGAGAGCGTGCGAATTTGCTCTGCAAGCGTCCATCTGCGCAGGACCTGCCAATGAGGAAATGTGACATGTCAAAACAAGTTGGTGTGGAATGCTTCGTTGCATTTAGCACTGGTGGAAAGAGATTGCCAATCACTGGTAACAACACAAACCGGCGCAAAACAAACTTGTCGGAAACCAATTCTTTCACAGCTGTCTGAGAAAAATGAAAAAAGCGTTTGGCAACTGAGATTGTTTTGCTCCAAAGTGCCAAACCCAGACCATTCACCCAATCAGCGGCACTCCAAGGCTCTGGGTGAACTCTCTCGCTCACTTAGCCCAAACACAATCATCCACTGCAAATTTGGTCCAGTGGCAAAACGTTTTAAATGGCAAATGAAAAAAACAAGCGTGATACAAATCCTTCCCCTATAAAGGCGCCATGTGGCCTAACATGGACTGGTTCCAGTCCCTAGGATATCAACCGCACGCTTGTCACATATGCTCACTACGCTTTGGGCAAATCCTCTTTGAGGACCTCACGCAACAGCTCAAGTTCCACATCGAGCTTCGCCTGCTCTTCCTGGCTCTGGGATGCTTGCTTGGCGGTGGCGACCTGTTCAAGGCGCCTTTTCACTGCAGTGGTCAAATTCTTGTCCACCTGGCAGCTGACAGGCGCCACTTGGCGCCACCCATAGCTCACCTGCTGCACCTGCTCGCCCAGCACTGCCCCAAAGGGAATGTACAAAAGATCTCCGCCCTGCAAGGTTGTGGTGTAGAGCGAGCACTCCCCCACAAATTCCTCCAGCGCTGAGGCACTCATGTTGCGGAAGAATGCTCCCTGCCTGGCAACGCCGATGGTTCCAGCAACTCCTTTCCTCTGCATGTAGCCGAGCAGCTGCAAGCCCTCCGTCAGAACCAATCGGCGGGTGCCTTCAAGAGTAAGGCGAAAGACAGCCAATCCAGCACTCTCTGTGCTGACTTTGTCGTAGCCAACATCAATCCCGAACAAAGTGAGTGCAGCGGCCTGCTTGCTCAAAGCTGGCAAGCCCGTAACATCCCGGAGGGCACCCGGATATTTTTTGAGAAGGTCTGCCAACTTGTCTTGAAGCTTGAAATCCATCTCTTGGGCACTGATTGGCTTGCTGGCCCTCATGCCCTTGTTCTCCTTTCTGCCGATGTCAAAAGCAACCTTGAAGGATTCAAAGTCAGGCTTGCAAGCGGCAGATGCTTCGCCAACCCACGCAGGGCAACTGAGGACCCACGGACGCGAGAAGTCCAAAGTCTCAGGCAAGTTGTCAACGGAAAACCGTTGAACTTGCTGAGCCAAAGCCACTCCTTGGTCAAAGAGGGGCAATGCGGTAGAAGTCTTCTCTTGTGCCTTTGCCTTCGCTGACTGAGCTGCCACTTTCTCCTGCTGCCTTCGCAGCTGATCTTTGGCACCTTTCAAACTTTTCTCTGCTTTGAGAGCTGCCGCTGTCAACTGGCTCAGTGGCGCCTTGGCATCAGCAAGCGCAGCATTAATGTCCTCGCAGTGTGGCAGCCGGCTTGCACAAATTTACTGAAACCAACAAGCTGGAAAGTATAATGCAAGCTTATGGGCGTCATATAATATGTTCTGGGATAATGTGGGAACCCATGTATTTCCTCGAACCAAAATTATCAACGCAACAATGCACCCCTGAAGGCGGTCGGAATGGGAAGCTTTGATCATAAAGCCTATTTTTGTTATTACTACCTGTGAATGGGTACCTATAGCGTATAGTCCTATAGCGTTAAACTTTTTGCTGTTCTATTTGAGGAACAAACCCGGTGGGAAAAAACGGAACCCCTGTCCCGCAACTGCTTCGGCTGGCGGCAGGTGTGGTACTTCTCAATAATCTGCGACAAACTCGCCACAGGGTTGAGCTTGGCAAACCCTTCGCAAGGAGGGCAGGCGCCCATCTCAACAGGACCAGACGCGCCATCACTCGAACTAGAAAACCTTGCAACAAACTGCTTCACCTTCTCATCATCGTCGTTGTCAAACACCAAAGCCATGGCCTTCACAGCACAATAGTGACAGGCTCATGGGCTTGGGGAACGGGATCCAAAGTGCGACGAACTGTTTCGAGCTTCAGAAATTTGCGTACCCGATTTACACGGTGCCTGACCAAGAGCATGTGTCAAAAATACTTTTTTGGCAAAGATGTTCCCAATGTTCCCCATTCAGATGGCCTGATCCCGGCAGCGACATTCCGTGCCAACTTTTTCAGCCATGGAGCGGTTCCCCAAAGCACTACCTTAGCAAACAGACACTATAGCCCCAACCACAACAAGTGATTTGTACGGTTTTAAATCCTAAATGGACGAGATGGGTGTTTATAAACAAAAGGGAATCCTCATCATCCAAAACGAAGCAACATCAAAAGGGAACCTTTGTTCACTAATTTGTTGCGATTCGAGGTACTGGTTTCATGGTGCTTGCTCCAAAACACCCAAGGTGTACAACAACTCTTTGTGCTTTGTGGCGCTTTAAAATCCGAGCAATGCATTTGTATCGCCACAAAATGCTTGACAACGGGTTTTCCAACACATAGAATTGGCCTTTCGACCGATGGAACTCAAGCATGTACGCCACCCTCCGGGCAATCCGGTTGTGAAGTGCCACCAAAGGAATCGATGGATCTCCGCCTGGTCGAAAATGAGCTCTCTTGGTTGACCCTCGAGACCTCAGTTAGAGCGGCTTGTGTTTGGAGACCCTTGGATCCAAGCAGGTTTGCTTGGGGCAGGGTCGATACATACAATAGCCTGGTAAATTGACTAGTATATCAATAATATAAACCAGCTTCCAACCTATGGGTACCAACATGGGAACAAAAGGCATTGCCAGAGATATGGATGGTCTTGCTGGGTTTTGAGGATTTTATTCTGCTAGCATGGGGGCCCCCAAACACTCCATTTTTTGTGGATGAAATTACGGAGAACTATTCGCTATAGCGGCCCAAGCACAAGTACACCCAAGAATTGCAAGGAATGCCGTACCAGGCACACCCAGCATCTACCAGGCGCCTTGCCTGGTAGAGAACCATCAACATTCCAAAAGCTGTTGTGATGTCAAGTTTCCTGCTGTATGTACTTGTGTGATCTTTAGGGCCCCCCTCCCTATCCCCCTACTATCTGTATATGTATAAATATATATATATAAATATGTATTTTTATAGAAATATGTATTTAAGTATATATCTTATTAATTTTTAAGAGTTATGCTCTATCGGTCAGCCGGGGACCCTAAAATTAGGTACGACTTAGGTGGTCGGTACGGGGACGTACGGTGGGTACGCATAGTGGGGATGGGTACGGTGGGTTGGTACGGACATTGGGTACGGAGGTGCTGTGGCACGGTATGGTGGTACGGTACGATGGTACAGTACGGTGTGGTGTGGTAGGTACGGTGGAACGGCATGGTACGAATACGGCCAGATAGGTACGGTACGGATAGGTACGGTATATGGATAGGTATGGTACGATGGGGGTACGGATAGGGGTAAGCTGGCGACAAAGAAAAATAATTATTGAGTTATTAGTTATTAGTTATTAGACTAGATTAATTAATAAAAGAGTTGAATCATATGAATATAAATATTGATATTAAAATTAAAATATAGTGTAGTAGTAGTGACAGTGTATTATATTTATATAATATTATCAGGGATCAACGACGATTTGTGGGTCAAAATTGTGACTCATTCACTAGTGAGCCCTTGAGTGCTGCCAGCACAATCGCTCTGAAAATTCAAACCAACTGCCAACTGCAGACTGCAGCATTTCGTTTTTTTTCTTCTCTTGCGCCCTTCAAGCACTGCTGTTCTGTTCCGAATTTCCGAGTGGTGGATTATTTAGGAAGCACGACGTTTTGTCCGTGCTTTCCACTGCTCCAGGGCAGTGGTCGCTTCATTCATATCCTCCACATCACTTTGTGTATCGAAGCGGACACTGCAAAATACAGCCAGCAAAGCGGCCATGATGCAAGGCATTGAATACCTGAGACTCTGAGTTTGAGTTTAGGACAATCACCAAATAATAATCACGACCATGACTCCATGACTTGTGACTCATGACTTATGACTCATCTCATGACAGTGAAAGATGCTCAGTAAACTAGTATGATTTGTAAGCGCTACAGTCTACAGTCGGAAAAGGACCTGCCTGAATCTGAGTTTGATACTGACTAGACTTGACAGCGACTAGACTCTGACTCTGACTATACTAAATTTCCAGAGAACAAACATCTTGGTCCTGGTCCTCATCCTACTGCCTACTGCATCAGTCAATGTCAAGTGTCGAGTCAAGTGTCCACAGAAAAACACACCAAAGGAATCTCGGCAGCAGTATTCAAGTACAGTGAACAGTGAGCCGTGAGCCAAAGTAACAAATTTCGCCACCCCCCTACCAAGAAACGAATTTCCAGCCAAATCGGCCAACTGGGCATCGGTGTGCTCCACCGGGGCAATCAGGTCTGACACAAACAGGCCCTGTAGAGCAAGAAGTTCTTGTCCTCAATTTCATCATCGAACCAAATCATCGTCATCGTCAGTAGTATCATCAACATCCTCATCATCACCATCGCCGAAGTCTCATAAACATAAGTCTCAGAGCCTCATGGTCATCATTAGCAGCAGCATCAATCATCACCAATCAATCATGAATCATACATCACAGAATCACATGCAGTCAGTCTCAATAACATCCAACATCATCCAATCAAATCATCAATCATTATAATTCGTGACTCATGGTCTGTCAAAGCGCAGTGCACTGCTCATGACAAAAATGTAAACATAATAATAACATAACATAACATACTGTTAAATTAAAAAACAACGTTGAAGTTGAACTGAACTGAAAGAAAGCTGAAAGTTGAAGTTGAAGTGGCCCAACAAAAGCCGTCCCCGTTCGACATGCCATAGCTTGGAGCCGGGGAGTATGGTTGGAACTACCTACCAGAGAGTTGGAGGCTGGAGAGGCTACTGCTACTACTACTGAGATGATACCAATCACAAATCACCAAGAGCAAATACCACAACAATCTTCATACTGACGGACTCATTCTGAACTCATCATCAATGATCAGGGGGCGTCATAAATCACAAATAGACTTAGACTTAGGTGACTTAAATCAATGACTGTGACTGGGCTAAGACTGTCTCTGCATGTTACTCCCACCACCCACCCCAGACCCCAAGCCTTTGTCTTTGACAAACTCGTGGGCATCCTTGTAACTGTCTGAGGTACATCCACGAAGGCAAAAACATCCTTCTTGTTCTCCTCGTTTCTCTGATTCCAGTGCTCCACAAAGCACAGGGCCTCATTCCCATTGTCATGGGAACTTGCGAAGCAACACAAGCACCAGCATCACACATGGATATCACATGGAATCACATCCATCACACAAAGAGGAGTGAGTGAGTCATTTGTCACGTCTCATCATGATTGTCATCCTCATCTAATCTTAGCTCTTTGAATAATCGAAAATTCAAACCGAATCAAATCAACATATTCATATCTGTAAATGGGGTGATTCATAGTCAAATTAATATAAAATAATTATAAATTTTGTATAAATATAATATATATATATTGAAGAAAATTCATTTATTTCATTTGTATTATAGTACATATGTATCAGTATTGTAATGCTTTATGTGTTTCAAAGAGTTACCGTATTATTAGTCATATTTATCAGATGATATAATGTTACAAATTACAAATATGATATGGTATAATGATATGTGACTATATATATTAAAAAAAACATAGTAACAACCAAAATCAATTAGAATATTAATATATAATATACAAATACAAATAATATAACATAAATATTTCTATTTTAAATTAAAATATGATATAATTAAAAACATATTAAGCATTGTATTATGTATTGTGTGTTACTTTTTTGTATTACATATACATATTTATTTACTGTGATCACAATTTGAAACATAATTATTCTGACTAAAATTAAAATTGCAATTGTAGTAGGTTGTACTTGTATTGAATTAGTATTGTATTGTATTGTATTGTATTGTAAAATTATATGCAATCAATTTTGAATATTATTTTTATATATTATATATAAATATATTAATTAAAAAATAAAAAAAATAAAGAAATGATAGAAATAACTTAACTTGAAATGAAACTGAAACAGAAACTCAGCCCAAGCCAAGTTGCCTGTTGCTCCCTGTCTGGCAGAGCCTCAAACCATCGAGACTGCGTCAACTGTGTGGATGGCGTGAGTGGCCACTTCACACCTAATTGCTCAGCAAGATTGCTGTGCTGCTCACGCCACTTGTCACCTGAAGAGCTAGGACCAGGCTCAGAAGAAGCTTTCCTTTGAGCTCGCCGGTCCCCAGCATTCAATCGACGGTTCAATTCGGCCAAAACTACCCGGTCATCATCCTTCAGCAAGAAGTGGTCCTAAGTATCACTGAACTGGACCCGGCTGGAAACGATATGATTGCTGATTGCATATTGCACATTGCAGTGCAGACAATTCAGGTTGATTGAATTCATTAATATATAATATAATAATATATATATATTATATATAATTATATATAATATATATATATTATATATATTTCATTAAATTAATTACTTTACTTACTTAAACTTACACTGACTTACACTGTACACTGTGTACAGTGTACACTTACACTTAAGTTACATACTTCATACTCGTACAGATACAGCATAAAATAACTTAACTAACAGTGACAGTCACAGTCACAGTAACGTCGTCAGCATTGATAACTTAAAAGTTGACTGGGTGTGATTCGGTGTGATGCAAAACTGGAAATCTGCAAATCTCAGTGAGTCAGGGAGTCTAAGGACAAGACAATAGGCGAGTTCACAGACATGCAGGCAGTCAGCCGTGCTGGAATGAGCTTGATGATCTCCTTTGCGGATACCGCAAACTTATCCTTGTTCGATATTCCGAAAATGTAGTAACGAGTCCGGCGTTGGGGCACGCCATGATCGGATGTCTTCAGCTTTTCAGCGCAGCAAGTGTAGCCGAGGCCTTCCAAATAGTTTAAGGCCATTTGAAGGTTTGACTTTGTCTGCCTTATCAGGGCCAGCAAAGCATCAACAAAAGCAAATGCCCTGTTTGATATTGCCACGGACAGGACAGTGATTTTGTATTTGTAATTTTTGTAATAGTAATAATTGTAAGTGAGTGTGTATACTGTACTGTATTGTGTACTGTGTAGGTGTAAGATGATGCCAGTTAGTTAGTCAGATCATTTGCTAGCTTCAGAATACTTATTATTTATATTTATTTATTATAATAATAATTATTATTTATTATTATTTTACCGATACTGATCCTGAATCATCTTTTGCTGCTGTTTCAAGACAAAACTTTGCAACTAACTTACTTTGTACTTTCACTTTCAATTTGACTTTGACTTTGACTCAAATTTGGAAAAACAGCGCAATACAATACACCGACATCGAAACACACGAAACTGGGTCATAGTCGTAGTCATAGTCACAATTCCAGTACATGATACATGAGTATGTATGAGTACAGTACAGTACAGTTACATGATACAATGATACATGATACATGCATGTGATCATGTGACAGTATGTGACAGTGACATCAATTATCGGATGAAGAAGAACCATCCTTCAAACTCACCATATCATGTAACATGACATGATTCGACTCGACATGACAAACTATTTTGAATTTTGACTCAATTGAGAATCAATCTCAAAGACCCTTCTGCAGCACTGCTGTAGCAGAGTCACTCTCGGTCGTCTTCCTCGCCAGAAGAAGTGTCCATGGAGTCGACATTCTCAAGGATGAAGGCTGATGGCTGTGTCTTCTCGACACAGTGGCAGACTCCGTTGAATGTTGCCGTCGATGAACAATCCTTAGCCGCTGCGCAGCAAAATTCAGATTCCACCATTCACACCGTCACTGAGACTGAAGCACATCAGTGTCAGTAGTTCACCATCTTTGACCGGTGATTAGTGATACATGACGTGTATTAATACAGTACGGTCTGGTATCAGAATGCCATTATCATTAACAACGTTTCATTCATCATTTATTGCTATCAATAACCAATACAGACTCAACCAACATATCAGATTGAACCAACTTGAACCAACAAAATCAATCAGCGTGATAGTTAGCCCTCCTCCCCTCAACTTGCCATCGACAAGTATCGGTCCCATCTTTCAAAGCTGTTTTCAGGCTGCTAAAGTCATTGTTCATCTTGCTGAAAGACCTGTGACTGTGAGTCCAAACTTGGCAAAGCACAAACCACTGGCTCTGCCGTGCCACACAACCATGCAATTGCCAAGGGGCTTGCAGCTGAATCCAGCTGCGAAGATCGAGAAGACACCCTCATCTGAACAATCCGGCAGAGCCTCAAAGAGCCGGCTCAATGCTACCGCTACAATCAACTACTACAACTCAAAATCATCACCAACACCAACAGTTAGTCAACAACAAAAACGACTTACCTAATTACTGACATGTTCTTCTGGTGTCTAAAGTCCAGTCCAGAGTCCAGAGTGCAAAGTGTAATCTACAATCTATTCTACCTCCTCAGAGCTCACAAAAATATAGTAAGGTCCGGTAAAGTTAAAGTTAATAGTGACAGTAGTCATAACCATTCATCATCTTCTCGATTCTAGAAGTATCATGTGAGAAGTCTCAAACGTGTGAAAGAGATTTGAGGCACTCACACAGCATGTGCCGTGCACCGTACACCTCCGCTCATCCTTGTTGTGCAGTTTGGTAATGTCCTCAAACATGCACACCATATCCAGCTCCTGGTTGTGAGTCAGGCCAGCATCACAGATTAAGTTCCTTACCTTACTAGTTACAAAGTTACAAATCCATTACTGAGACCGGGTCAGAGTCAGAGTCATAGGAGGGGAGGAATGAAAGTACAGTCAGTGCAGTCAGTCAGTACAGTACACAGTACTCAGGATCCTCTTCGGGAATCGCATGTTTCAGGGCAAAGCTCTGCTTGTTCGGAACAATCTCACACATGAAGCTGTGCGACACCTGGCTTCAAGGTTCTTTCAAGTAAAGTGGAATGCATGTCTGGCTTTGGCAATTCAAAAAAGGTTGGCAAAATTGGCAGTGTGTTAGTTTGATTGACATGACCGCCATGCAGGCATGCATGCAGGCATGACTAATGACTACCAACTACCAACAGCCAATTTGGCCTATGACAACCCAGGCTCAGACTTGGAAAGACTCATTCCAAATTCCAAATTCCAAATGCCTGAAACTTGCAATATAATATTTATATGTATATATATATATAATATCATATATTTATATAAATAAATATATAATATATGACTGTGTGAACAGGTCAGACTGTGGCTGTGACCCCTTTGTCAGTCAAACACTTTGGCTGCCTTGAAAGGAATATCCAGCGTAGGCCGCGCAATGAATCCCTGGTTCAGCTCTGCAATCAGGGCTGAAGCCGCAAGCTCACACATGCCGGTGCCCGTGCATGCCGTCATTACCTGAATCTGCCGAGGGACCGACTGCACGTTGATAGCAATTGATTCGAAACCAAAGTCGGCCACTACTTGGTCCATCTGCGCCTCCCAAACCGAATGGAACCCGTTGGAGTTGGAATAACTTAGAATTGTAGCTTAGCAAGGCTAATTGTCTTAGGCTTAGACTTAGTAAGAAGTTTCAGTTAATTTGGTGAAATTAGTTAGCTAGTTAGATAGTTAGTCAGTTAGTTTTAACTAAACAATTTTTGAATAGTTTAGGCTAGGAATGTTTGGAATTTAGAGTTTCGAGCTTCGAAGAACTTAAAAGTTAGAAAAAAATAGTTAGGAGTTTGGAGTTAGAACTTTTTATTTTTTGCGAGTTAGCTAATTAGCTTGTCAGTCAGTCAGTTAGTTAATAGCTCTTTGTTAATGTTAATATATAGTAGGTAAATTAGTGAATGAATGAGCGAGTGAGTGAATTAGGTAGTAAAACTAGTTAGTAACTAGTACTGCCGTATATAGTAGTACCTATGATATTAATAATACTAGGTATTTTCTATTAGAAAATAACATATCCTTTAACCATACTATTTAATTTACTATTACTTTTCGAAATAATAAATAACTAATTAATGATAAATAATAAAAAATAAAAATAGAAATATTAATAAATAATCAACATATATTACTTAATAATTAATAATAAGTAAATAAACTAATAACTGTTTTGAGCTTATTTATGAGTATAACCTATGCAAGTGTTAGTAGAGAATGGAACTGTTCAAGTCGATGAACTTTTGCTAGAGTTAGAATCATAATCATAGTTACATCAATTCCTAATCAGAATCATCAGTTTTGGTTTCAAGTAGTTACAAGAAATACAAGAGTTACAATTGCAAGTTACAAGTTGCAAGTTACAAGTTGGCTTGAAATGGTGTTATGAATCTCATGAGTTATGAGTCATGATAACTCATAACTCTTAATTAAACCTATGACTATGACTATGACTAGTAACTAGTCTAGACTCTAGAGTCTACTATAACTTGTCATTGCCATGAGTCATAAGTCATAAGTTATGAGTCATAAGGCTCATACTCAAAAGGTATTCCAAAAGTGTCCAAAAGTTCAAAATAAGTAAAATATCCGGCCTTGCAAGTCTTTCGCATAAAGTACCAGGGATTTCCTGGCTGTGGCGAAGCATCCAAGTAGTCTTGCCGGTCGGGAGCATCATCACCAGCACCATTATCCTGGTCCATACCAGCATCGGCTGATGGTGTGTAGAATTGGGTGGCATTGTCAGTAACATCGCCCTCCGCATCCGCATCGAGAGCACTGCCCAAACGTCCAACCCAAATTTCATCATCGGTCTTTTGCTCCTCTTCTCCCGGCTCCTGATCTTCATCCCCATGAGAATCGCCTGCAGCTTTGGCCGTGGAAGCAGTGGCATCTTTGGCAGTGCCATCTCCTGTCTTTTCTGGATCCTGATTCTGATCCAGTGTGACAGGAGCCGCTGGAACAATGTCACCACAAACATTGGCCACAACTTCTTCTCCAGTTGGGGCCGCCTGCATCTCTAGTACTGCTGGTATAGTTTCTGCATCAGCATCAGCCACAGTGGCAGCCGTCGACCCAGCATCACCCATAGTAGACGCAGGCGCAGAATTCGTTTCAACACCCGTAGTGGCTTCACTGGGTAGTCCTGCGGCTGGGTGGAGAGTGGGCGGGCGCAAACGAAACTTGAGTCAATGACTATTCTGACTGGTTTGAGTTGAACATGTCATGAGAGACAAAGCATAATTGGTTCATCAGCCGAACTGCTGTGGAGTTGATTTACTGTTAGAGTTAACTGGTTAATTTGTGAGACTCAGTTGGGAGTCTGAAGATGTCGATTCACATTCACCTTTGTGCAACGGTTGCACAGTTGAACATATGATATGTATGACTCTGTCTGTATGATATATATATATATTATATAATAATAATATTTTATATAAAATACATGTGACTATAAATTATATATTATTATTTGTCACATCATAAAAGGTATAATATATAGACATATAAACATATATATATAAACAAACATTATTTAAATTAATACAATGAACCCATTGTATGGTGAATATGAAAATATTATAAGATATTTATTGATTATTATATATATTATTTATATATATAAATATATATTGCCATCGTACTAAACAGGGAACCACATTGCATTATATCAAATTGTATTATAGTATGTTATATTATATTCAATATATTTGTACTGAATAATATTATATTATACTCTATGATATTATATTGTACCGTATTGTGTTTTATTATATTATATTGTTTTTACATTACATGAATTAACTTATAACTTATAACCTTATATTATATTATATTATATTTTCTTATATTATATTATAATATTATATTTTTTAAATTACATTAAATTTTATTTAGTGTATAATACATACAGATTACATATTGGAATTGCTAACTATTGGTGATATTAATTTTCATTTCCATATCATAGTCAAAATCTCATATCATAATATCATTAGGATTTTGTGTGATGAAATGATATTTTTCAATAAAGTATTAAATTAAACTATAGGCTATAGGGTATAGACTGAGACTAAGACTATATAGACTCTATGTTATATAAAAACAAATCCAAATAATTACTATTTTATTATTAATAACCTAAAAATATTATATAATAATATAATATGATATAAGAAAATATTTTACTATATATTTTATTTTTTAATAGATTTAAATTATAAACTACACTTGAATTACAACCAAAATAAACATAACGATAATTAGAATTATAAATTATAAAAATAGAGCAAATATATTTCTATCCTATCTAATCTATTATATGATATAATATAAAACTAAACAATATAATTTTATATCATTTACACTACACTAATACAATTACAGTATACAGGAAATCATAAATTCAATGATTTTATTTAAATTTAAACATAATTAACCAAATTTCAAATATCATATAAATTGTTATTTAATTATCAAATTTTTATTAATAATTAATAATAATAATATTAATATTAATAATTAATATAATATAATATAATATAATTTAATTATTATTAATTATATAAATTATGCACTAACTATTTATACAGTTTATTACAGTACAGTCCAGTACAGTATTATGTCATTGAACTGAACAATATAATGAAGTATTATAATCTGCCCAACAAGACAAGTCAGGTCTAAGTTCAGTCCTGGTTGCTGCTGCTCACAGCTTTGATCACCTTGACCTTGACGCTTCACCTTGGCCCAAAACTTGTCAGCCTCTGGATCTGGCTCCTGCAGTTTCCGAGAGGCTTTGCTGGCTCTACGGCTACCAGTAGTCTGTGGTGTATCTGGCTCTTCTCTTTTCACTTTCACGGCTTTCACGGTCACCTTTTCCTTCGCCTTCGCTTTGGGCTTCTCAACTTTCTTCTTCTCGGCAGGTTTTGCCTTAGGCGTACTAGCCTTGGCCTTAGGCTTAACTTTGGGTGAGCTTGGGGCCATCTTACTTTTGGCTGCCTTTGGAGGCATTGCGCCACAAAGGCAAGCACAAAAAAGTCAGACCGATCAAGATCGGTTGATCTGATCACTTTCTAACGGGGGTCCTGGGTCAAGTAGCTACTTGAATTGGGTCAAGCAGCTGCAGCATCAGCATCAATTGAAATCGAAATGAGTGGCAAGTGGCAGTGGCTACCACGATGCACAGGAACAGGAACAATCAAATCTCAGAATCTCAGACCCAGATTGTGAATCTCAGGTGTCTCAGATTGTGAATATCAGATTGAGTGAGTCTTAGTCTTGGACCTAGACTTAGAATCAAAGTCTTAGTAACTCCTAGGTTTTGAGTTAGAGTCACAGTCAGAGTCAATGACGGGCCACACACACAGCAGTGCAGTACACACCGAATAAAGCGTTCCCGACCCTGAAGTCCAAAGTCGTCCAGAAGTCCAATTTTCATTTTTCTTTCCTTTCCCACTCTCAAGTCTGATCTATGTCAATGACTATGGTACGGTTTCGACGACGTGCAAGCTAAGTCGCCCAAATCACACCCTGCCTGGGAAACAATCAGTCATGGTTGTTGCCACGTTTAATGAATTTCACTACCTGCTAATCTACCAGACTAAGAGCAAAGAGTAAATCTTTGGCTTGGAGTTCGGAATTGCGATGACAGAAATAAACAATTGAAAAATGTCGAATGAATGAACGCATGAGCCACGAGCTAACCAAGACTGACAGTAACAAACGCGTCAAATGCCTCAACATCAAAGATGCTGAGCAAACAAACGCTACCCCCTGCTGCTAAAGTGTCAACGTCAGACAGCTGCCATATTGCACGGCTGGCCACCCGAAGCAACAAGAAAAGCAGATCCCTTCTACTACTTCTACTACTTACTAAATTATGCCAGGATTTGTGTGTGTGTGATAGGGCAACGAATTACTTCAATGTCCATATTATAGTTTAATGGAAACCAAAGCTGTACACAATGCAGAATGCGATTGGCTGAGTTCAGCCCTAGTACTGAGTCCAATTCAGCTCTCATTTCTGCAACTCTCTAACTTTGATCTTTTGCGAATGGTAGTTCTACTTCAAGACATCTGAGCGCTCTCCAGCCAAAAGGGCCTTGGCAATGTTCAAGATGTGACCAGGCACCTCCAGCTTGTGATCATCCACCACTTCCAATGCACCCTTGATATTGTTAGAGACTGCATCTGTGATCTTCGACTTTGCTTGAATCGATTTCCGAACGGACTTTGAGCACAGGGTTCCCAGAATGTTGCCAGTTGTCCTGGGAATTGGAAACGGGAATAACGGGACGGGAATGACGGGAAATGAAAAACTAATGTCAGTGTCAGGCCAAATCCCAATCACACTCACAATTTGAGACTAACAAGACTGGCGCAGTGCAGTACAGAGAGCAGTGCAGCAGTGAGAAGCTAAGTGTGAAGTGTGCCTGTGTATTGTGTATTGTGATGTGAGACTCCCTACTCCCCACCCTCTGCAACAACTTGGACCCAGACATCCAGAGCAAGCATTTCTTCCAAGTCGATTCCACGTGTGGATACTCAGGGAAGAACACTTCAGGCTTCATCTTTAGGCCAGTCGCCCCACGCTGAATGTTCCGGATGGCTTCTTCCAAAGCCACAGCAGCCTCAATGACAGGCGTGCTTGCATCTTTGCCAAAAGAGTCTTTGATCAAAGTGATCGTTGCATCCTCAAAGAAATGGCTCAGTGTACAAGGCTCCACCAAGGCCGGCAGAAGCTCCAAAGTCTCTGGGATTTCAATGGCTTTCACTTCCTCAGTGAATGAGGTCCGAAGAAGACCAACCTGCTCCTGAACACTCTCATCATGACAAACCAGGAAATCACCAATCACCGAGTCAAACTCTTTGATGTGACGAGGCTTGTCCTTGTCCTTGTCTGACTTGTCGGAACTGGAACCTGAAATGATACCACTTAGGGCCTCCAAAGCGACCTTCATTTCACCAGGCTTGCTGTTCTCTAGAATCTGGTAGTAGGCACCAAGATCTTCAAGCTGTTTAGATGTAATCTCCCCATTTTCATCCTTTTCCCCTTTGGCATTGACTGCCTCACTTTTCAACACAGCGACCGACCTGACAAGCTTCTCCAAGATGTTCAGACCTTCCCTGATAGACTCTCCTTCCTCCTGGTCCATGACGCTTGACATGCGAGCTGATTTTTCCACATCCTGACAAAACTGCGTGACTTTCTTCTCCGGTAGTTCAACGTCAGGATCAGCCAAGATGTTGTCTGCAACGAACTTGAGACAACTGCTAGCCGCATCAATGGCAGAGGAATTCACTTGGCCACAGAGCAACTCTTTCACTTCCTCAGTGACGGACACAAAGGTCTCTTTGATGGTTCTGGCTCCTCTTCAAATGCCTTCTTTGCTGGGCATGACGTTGAAGTAAAAACCTGCGAGTAAACCTTCACCGTTGCCTCAGACCACGTCTCCCACTCCTCAACACACTGCTGTGCTTCCTTGGGATCAAGCTTTCCTTCCAAAGCCTCATTCACTCGAGAAACGAAGGTAAGGCCAATCTTGAAATGGTCCGACACCTGCTTGGCAAACTTGCCAGTCGTGCCGACATCTCCCAAACACAACAGGCATGAGTCTGGTCCAAGAAGCTCTCGCTCAAAAGGCTGTCTCTTGCCAATGGCCTTGCCGAAGTCCTCAATGAAGGAATTGCACTCCTTCTTCAAAAAGGTCATAACTGCAATGTAGACTGCATCATCAACCAGTCTCTGCAACTTTTTGAGAGAATCACGGTCTGCACCTTTCAGGCTCTTTGTTGCAGGATCTTTGACAACGTCATAGGCGTCTTTCAGCCTTAGTGTACAGGCGAAAGCTGATGACAAATTAGGTACAGTTACGGTACGGTACGGTATAGTATAATTACTAGTTACTAAGT